TTACCAATTCGAGAGTGTTATTTTCAGACTAAAATAAAACAACAAAAAAATCAATACATCTATTTTAATTCATTTTTATTTCCGAGGCACTCATAGAAAGCTTATGGAGTAATCTTTCATTTGATACAAATTATATTGGACTTTTTATAGAAATAAAAAAGTTTAGAATGGACGCCGTGTTTTCCTTCACTTTATTGAGAAATAGGAGAGAGGCGACGGGTATTATACCTGTCCGTACATTTCCGTGATAGAAGATCGAAGTACTCAGAGAGGGGCGGGGCGTCATGTATGACTTAAATCGTTTAACTTTGTGAATCTACTTTTGTCATTTTAAACATGTAACTGTGTAAATGTACTGTTGTAGTTCTACGACTGGAAAACACGTTTTTATTAAATTATATTTTCTGCATTCGAGTTTTACATTTCATTTGTGTTTTTCAGGTACATATATATATCTACAAGTGTGTAAACATGCTTATGTATTATATGCAATGGTAGATACGAAATTGTAAATGTGTGTTAGGTCAGTTGTTAAGATTTACATGTAAACTTGTTATTTAAAAGCGGGTGCCTTCCATTAAAAGATTGGATGAAGAGGCATATCATTTGCTGTGCACGAATGCAATCAAAAATGCTAGACATACATGTTCGCATTTTCAAAAGTAGTTTTCAAAAGGAACACATTACATGTCTGGAATTTTGGCAACGATCGCCCTCAATACTACAAAAGTTACATAGAAGATATAGCATGGAAAATTAGTAAATTTTTCCTTGGTTCGTCTTTAATAGTCCTACGCATAAACCCTCCCAGCCTGCTGAATCTCAGTAAGGGCTTATCAGCTAGTAAATCACTATTAACTGTATATCTCCCATTAACACGTCCACTGAGTTGAGAGTCTTGTCATTACTAATTGGCCCTCTGTATTCTTATCTAATGGCCCTAACGTTGAAGGATCAAATTCTGAACATACTCTAGCTTTTATCGATGTTTTTTTCTCTGGGTCTGCGGCCCAAGTGAATAGTGAAACTTTTAGCAATAATTTGAATTATTTGTAAATATTATACTTCATATCACAAGATAAATTTTAGCTACTAAATGAATTATATGTTAGGATATATCTTTATAAGTGATAATCATCTTCTTACTTAATAAACGTCCATAGTAAAGCGTCACTGTTCAGTGTTACTCATGTTACTGAGTGAACTGCATACCCACCCACACCCCGAAAAAAAAACCGCTAAAAAACATAAAGAAAACAAAAACATTGTATTTACTGCAACTTTAGTGCAACACTCTTAACTAAGTGACCAGGTAAGTGATATTTTTTATTATTAGCTCAACTATATCAAATATATGGAGTGCTGTCCTACTCATCTCGGCTTGTAAGCCGGCGCCAGCGTACATACTTTAAATTAATTCTTATATGCAGACATTTTATCTCTAACTTTTTTATTAGCTCATCTGAGGACAATGTCCGTGCGTCAAAAATTTCTTTAAACGACTTCTACTCCTAAACCACTTAGCCAAATTTGTTGAAACTTTGCAGGAGTGTTCCTTGTAACCTTACAAAATGTTCTTTTAAAAAATCCAAAGAGCTAGAGCTTAGATATTTGGCATGAAACATCTTATACTGAGTGTCTATCAAGTTTGTAAAGATCAAAGCCCTGGGGTAAAAATTAGCCTCGTCCCGAAGGGTCATTAATATTTTCCTTATATGTACACATGTATTCCTTATGATCATACACATCATGTGATAAGGTGTTAAACTCAAAAACCAGTATTTCCAGAACTATATCCCCTTGAACATATAATTTTCCATAAAATAATGTTATTTTTTTTCTCTTTCTATTTCATAATAAGGGATTGACTTAAACTTCGAATATGTGTTCCTTACCATCAACTACATCATATGTGACAATATTTTTCCAGAATTATCTCCCCATGAACTCATTTTTTTCCTAAAAAAAAGGTTACCTTTTTACTTACTTCTTTATTTCTTAAGATATCTACTTCTAACTTAAAAATATATGTTCCTTATACATGTTTGACAAGATTCATAACTCTAGCATGAATATTTCCAGAATTATTTCCCCTTTGAACTTAGATGTTTTTATGCCCCTGAAGTGTGGCATATTAAAATCGAAACGTCCATCTGTCTGTCTGTCAGTCCGTCAGGCTTTATACATATAGACAGTGGAGGTAGTGTCCGCTCTGAAAATTCAGTTTGCATGAAAGTATTAATTTTTCTTTCATATATGAAAAAACCATAAATGTATGGTGAGTCGCAAACAAGACTCGAGTTCCTACGACTAAGGTCAAGGTCACTGTGGGGTTCAAACTTTGTCATTTTTTATGTTATATAAATATAGATGGTGGTGGTCCTGTCCGCTCTAAAAACTTCAGTATGCATGAAAGAATTTTAATTTCTCTTTCATATATTAAACAACCATCTTTCATATATTAAACAACCATAAATGTATGGTGTGTCACAAACAAGACTGGGGTTCCTACGACTAAGGTCAAGGTCACTGTGGGGGTTCAAACTTTGTCATTTTTTATGTTATATAAATATAGAAGGTGGTGGTCGTGTCTGCTCTGAAACTTCAGTATGCATTTTTCTTTCACATATTCAATAACCATAGATATATAGTGTGCCACGAACAAGACTCAGGTTTCTACAACTAAGGCCAAGGTCACTGTGGGGGTTCAAACCTTGTCAATTTTGATGTTAATATACATATAGGCAGAGATGGTCGTGTCTGCTCTAAAACTAATATGAATGAAAGGATTATATTTTTTATTTCGCATATGAAATTATCATAAATGTATGATGTGTTGCACTTCGTTGACCCGTAGTTCAAGATCACTGCTGGGGTTTAAACGTTTTCAATATTTATGTTATATACATTATAAATGGTGGTTATTGTGTCCGCTCTGTAACTTCCATACCTGAAAGTTTCAATTTTTTTTTTTAAATATTAAGTCACCATAGATAGACAATTTGTTGTGAACCTAACCCAGGTTTCTTTGTCTAACTTAAAGCTGTCACTGCTGGGGTTGGAACTATGTCAATTTTTACCACCACACTGTAATAGGTGGTTTATAACTAGAATCCTTTAAGGCATTTGTCACGTTCTGTGACAGCTCTTGTTTTTATTTTATTTTTGTATATTGATATTTTTGCACTTCAAAAAATGTTTCTTAACACTTATATCAGGTGCGAATAGATTTATAACTCTAGCTGTATTTCTAGAATTCATCTCCATTTCATTTTTGAACTTGGGATTTAGTGAAAATTCATATATTTCTAAGTATAATCTTTGTTATTAGAAATGATATCTACTCTAGACTTAAAATAATTGTTCTTTGTCATTACTTACATCATGCATGATAAGGTTCATAACTCTAGCATCTTTATTTCAAGAGATATTTTCTCTTTGAACTTATAACTTTACTATAAATTAAAAGGTCATCAATTTTTTACTATTTTCTGCTTTTTTTGCAATTGGTATAGTAATAGTGATTTAGTATTTTGTATGGAAGTCAGAATACTACTTTATTTACATGTTGCTACCTTTTTTACAATTTTTTTTTCACATTCAGAGATCTTTTTTCTACCAAATTGAATGAAAGTAATATTCATTAGTATCTTTATTGTGATCACAGGGACTCGGCACAGTGTTGGGGTAGTGTAAAAAGCAATTTTAGAAAAAAATACTTATAATTTTTTTTTCTCTAAAATTAATTTTACCCTACACTATCCCAACACGGAACTGAGTCCCTGTGATTGTGAGTTGTAAGTGATTAAAAACCTTTTTTTTCATGTAATCTTTTTAGTCTTTAACTCTTATTAAAAATTGAATTCTTTGTTTTCCTTATATCTGAAAAGTTCTCTATATCCTACAGCTTAAACTATACATTCTTGAAACATGATAGGATCATAAAACATTCTATGGTGCTGCTATCAGTAATACTGTGACAAGCCATGTAATTATAATTAAATGCTCATCACTGGCCAAAGATAGCAAATTTTTGGGGAAAACTGGAAATCTTGGGTTTATGCGTAGGACTACGGAATGCCGTTAGGGCCATCGCCTATAAATGTGTTGATCTAAAACGCGATAGTCGATAGTACGATGGTGAAAACGCGAAATCACGAAACCACGATGGTGAAAACGCGAAAGCACAATGATGAAAACGCGATAGTACGATGATGAAATCGCGACAGTACGATACTACTATGATGAAAACGCGATAAACTATCGTGTTTTCACCATCGTACTGTCGCGTTTTCACCATCGTAGTTTCGTGATTTCGCGTTTTCATCATCGTATTGTCGAGTATCGAGTTTCAGACCAAACCATTCATAGGCGATGGCCCTAACGGCATTCCGGAATGCCGTAAGGGCCATCGCCTATGAATGTGTTAATCTGAAACGCGATAGTCGATAGTACGATGGTGAAAACACGAAATCACGAAACTACGATGGTGAAAACGCGAAAGTACGATGATGAAAACGCGATAGTACGATGATGAAATCACGACAGTACGATGGTGAAAACGCGATAGTACGATGATGAAAACACGGCAGTACGATGATGAAAACGCGATAGTACGATGGTGAAAACGCGATAGTACGATGGTGAAAACGCGATAGAACGATGATGAAAACACGACAGTACGATGATGAAAACGCGAAATCACGAAACTACGATGGTGAAAACGCGACAGTACGATGGTGAAAACACGATAGTTTATCGCGCTTTCATCATCGTAGTATCGTACTGTCGCGTTTTCATCATCGTACTTTCGCGTTTTCATCATCGTGCTTTCGCATTTTCACCATTGTAGTTTCGTAATTTCGCGTTTTCATCATCGTACTATCGACTATCGCGTTTCAGATCAACACATTCATAGTCAATGGCCCTAACGGCATTCCGTATAGGACTGTATATATGTGCTACATTTTAATGTAGAGCCAAACGCGAGATTTGCGGTTTATTTAGTGGTGTTCAATCATTATAAGTACACGCTGTGGAAATCTTAAAAAATGAGCAAAATGATAGACAAACGAGAGTCTGGTAAGTTATCTTTATGAATTTCTGTCATAAGTTCTGGTATAAATATTTAAAATTAATTGTTTTTTTTTCGATATGTGTTGATCTAGGTGCTGCAGACACGTTTAAATAGCATACAGGAGATTGGGTACTCAAAATCAAAGATTCGCACCTATCATGTTTCGTCCCAGATAAGGCGGCGCACAGTATTTTCGTACTCGTGAAATATTACTTCATTTCAGTTCATTAAATTAATTTTATTTCTAGATAGGTGAATTAGTTGATAGCATAAACTGATATATTTCTTAAGTAAGATCTTAAACATATTGTATAAATTTCCGTCAATTGAGTAGAACTGAACCCTTTGGTTCCTAGTCGTCTGTCACTTGTCATATTGGAATTTGGATTTGTTTTCAAACCCATATACCAGTGCCTCATATTTCCTTTGTACTTAACTGTTTAACACACAGAGCAAAAGTTGAAATAATAAAGTTGAGAAAAGTACCATAAGCATTGTAGCAATGACATATCATGTCAGTTATGTCATAGTTTATTCCATTTAAGGATAACATTCAATATGTACATTTTTATATGTACACAACGATTGACCATGGTGACAAACATGTTTTCAATCCATATTTCAGCAGCAATTGCAGTTTGCCAGTTTCAAAGGCAAACACAATAGTTATCTTAATTTTTAGTATGTCTTTACCTTTTATTGTCTTCATGAAAACTAACAAAAGAATGGCGAAATATTTTTTATGCTTCATCTGAATTAGAAAATAAGTTTTCTCCGTCATTTACAGAATGTATTGATGAAAATACATATGAAGATGGACTGAACCAAAATAGTGTTACATGACGTATAGATAGCACTGAATGAAACTATTGAACTGTCACATGTAAAAAAAAAATGTTAAAAATCATTTACATGTAAATCATGCAAAAGAAGTGGCTGATTATATAATCATATATATATGAACAAAAACTAAAATGTCATGTATATTTTAAGATATTTTAAACTTTCTCGAAATGCCGCATGACTTTGCCCAATGTATGCCAGGGATCTTTTCCCAAAATAGCCCCAAATTATTTTTGTATAACAATTAATATTACATTTATTACTTGATTTATGATTTTAGGCAGGATAAAAGATGCAGAGCAGAAAAGGATTCTGGATGAAGCGGCTAGAAGACGTCGACAACGAAAGGCCTTGGAGGCCCTAGAACAAGATAACTTTCAGGAAGATCCACATGCTGATCTTAAAATGAGTAAGAAAGCACCAAAATTTGAGGAATCTATGGAAACACAGTGTAAGTTTTTAGAGTTTTTATGAAGAATATCTCAGAGGTAACATTATGATGCAGTCAATTTAATTTGTACATGAAATACTAGTTATCATTAAAAGTTAGATTTAAGTAAAATTATTGAAGTAAGTAAAATTAAGTAAAACTATTGAATGAAATAATGTCTATTATGAAATACGTGATTCTAATGTTTGTAGTGCAAATCTAATGTTCATAGTTATATTTTTAGATTTAACTTTCTTACATCTTATCTGAAATTTTGAAGAATGTTGATTTATTTATAAGCAGGATTAAACATTTATTTATATTATAACCCTTACAATATACTGTTTTTAATTGATTTATAAAAGTGCATTTTTAATATTTCAGCATCTCAACAAGGCAGCAGAAAGAAGAAAAAGTATCGTAGTGATCTTCTTAAGTACAGATTTAAGAAAAGTTTTGCTGCATTGATAGAAGAGGAGGTAGGATAAATTTGTTTGTTTTGTTTTTAAACTCCTAAAACCATATTCTGGAATATCAAATAATTTAAGTAAGTACATCTGACATTCCTTATAACTTTTAAAGATTAATCGTTCATATATTCCAGACTTGAGAAATTACTTTTTGTACCAGCATTTTCATGACCTGTTGTTTTAAAACAAGTTTATCTTTTAAAGCTTCTATAATCATTTTAATTTACTGTTCTCTGTTAGAAAGAAGAAGTCGAGATATTATGATTGCTGCAGTGTCATTGTCATCGTTGTTGTTGTCCTTGTTGTCATGCGAAAACTAAAATGTAATGTCCCATTTTGAATTTAGAACATTTAACAAAGGAGTGTTAACACTACATGTGGTACTCTTGTACATATACCTTAATATGTTGGTAACAAATGGTTCTTATTTTCTTGGACAAGAGGAATGAAGTTCAGTAATGAAAAGAATTCATGTCAATGTCATTCACCAGATTGGTTATATTTTGAATGTACATGTATTGTTTTAACTTTAGTTCTTTTAGTCTTAAAAATTACACCCATTGAAATTGGTTTTGCCAACTTCTTAAAATACATTGCTTATTTTTTATTTCTTTGAAAGTTAGCTTTATGATTCATGTTATTTTGTTAAATGTCAACTAAAAGTAATATATTCCAACATTTTCTTGATTTTATGTATTAATAAAGTAAGACGTTTGTGCTGTGTAGAAAATATTTCAAAGGGAGGTAATGAATGTTCCACTCACACAGTGGTATAATTATGTTGTTAATCTCCCTTTAACCATGTCTTTATTTATTTACTGAGAGTTAGTACCAGATGGTACATTGCATATTTTGTTTTATATTTTCAGCACATGACAAACAAAGATCCACCTAATTATGTGAGTGCGTGTGCTCCACCATCCAAGCTGCCTGCTCGACATTTCTGTGCTGTATGTGGATATCCTTTTATGTATAAAACATTTGTAGTTTCATCACCTATTTTCTGTGTTATGTTCTATGTGGCAGGTGTCTCTTGTCATAATAATTCATTTGACATGTATAATACATTCCGTTATACAAGGCTTATGATGCAATTTTATCATGGTACACATCTTTGGGAGAAAAAGAGAAACATTTAAGCTTTCATAAAAAAAACTGTACTGCACAAATATACTTAAGCCAAAAGGGAGCATAATAGATTTATATTTTTATAAACAATATCTCAAAAAAAAGAGAAATATTTCACTCATTAATTGCTATTTAAGATAAATGTTTAACCAACGTATGATCATCAGTGTAACTTGCAGTGCATGCTTGAATTATTTCCCCTTGAATATTTTTAATGGACTTTTGCAGCTTCCATTTCTGGAACTGTCCATACTCAATTTGGGGATATCAAAATGAAAATCTAAGGTTAGTCAACTAATAGTATAGAGTATGGTCAGATTTCAAGGATTTGCCAGCTAGCCTTGCTCTGTATTGATGGAATAGGCTACTCACTTCTGGTTTCAGCAGGTTAAGGGTTAATTATATGTACTGCTAAAATTTGTAAAAGTCCCATTGGAATAATAGAATTTTGTAACATTCTTTAATTGAATAATGTAATTTTGTAATATTAAATTCAATAGAATAATAGAATTTTGTAGTATTAAATTTAATAGAATAATAGAATTTTGTAATATTCAATTCAATAGATAAATAGAATTTTGTAATTTTCAATTCAATATAATAATAGAATTTTGTAGTATTCAATTTAATAGAATAATAGAATTTTGTAATATTCAATTCAATAGATAAATAGAATTTTGTAGTATTCAATTCAATAGATAAATATAATTTTGTAATTTTCAATTCAATAGAATAATAGAATTTTGTAGTATTCAATTTAATAGAATAATAGAATTTTGTAATTTTCAATTCAATAAAATAATAGAATTTTATTATATTCAACTCAAGAGTCACAGATAGTAATATTTGCTGTGTTTATATTATGTTAAACATGTTGACATTACCAAGTATTTTATGGGAGAATTTTGACCTTGACTTTTATCTACATATATATCAACATATACATGTGTTCAGTGTGGTGCCAGATATTGTTGTATAAGATGTTTGGGTACTCATCAGGACACCAGGTAAGTCGAGAAAACAAATCTCATTATCAGCTTCATTTTCCAAAGAATTACCATTTTTATGAGCAGTGTTGTTGTTAATGTTTTCATGCAAAAATTTTAATGTAGCCCATTATTAAAGCATTTCAAAGGTAATCAAGATGAAAATTGGAACACTTGCTTATCATTACAAGGGGCATAATTCTGAAAGCAATATTTTTGAGTTACACCCCTCTTTAACAGACAGGAGTTAACACAGCATGCAGTGTTCTTGTTTACTGTCAGAACAACTCTATCTTTTGTGAAACTTGTCCTTAACAGTGATCATAATAGTAGATTTAGATTCAGTTATAGATTTGGAACTTAAAAAATGAAATATAATCCATAGTTAAAAAGTTATTTTGTTATTTGTGTGGAAGACAAAATACAACTATGTTTCATGTTTTGCTACTTTTATGACAATTTATTTTTACATTCTTCAGATGCTTGAAATGGACAGCTTGAGAAAAAACGAATGGAAACTATTTTGAAACAGCAGCAAAAAAAAGAAAAGAAAGAAAAACATTGTGTGGACCCTCTGAATGGGCGTACATTTGAAGCATAAAAAGCTGTGATATTTATGATAGAAACCAGTATATAGAATGATGGGACCAGACCATCTGTCACTGTGACATATAGTAATTGAAAAAAATCAAGCTTGAGTAAGCTGGTAGCATGTTTGAAGAGAATGGTTAACTAAGTTCATACTAGAATGAACTATGATAGAAAATCCAGTCCAATAAGTTCTCTTTGTGATTGAAGAAACGGTTAACAAAGTTGATAGTGCGATTGATAAACCAGTCCAATAAGTTCATAAAGTGATTGAAAACTGGTTAACTAACTTCCTAGAGTAAAGTGTTAAATCTGTGTTTAAAACACACTGGAGAGAAAATGCAAAGGATTCTTTTCAGTGTGTACCATGTCATTCTTAGACCAACTAAAACTGAAATATGACTAACATTTGTGATCAAAAACCTATAAATTGGTGTTTAAAACCAAATATTGGATGAAGAGTTGTCTTTCTTAAATTAGGAGATAAACAATGAACAATCAGTTGAATGGTGTTTGGTGCTTACTATTCTAAAATATTGAAATGACATTACTGTAAATATACACTAAATGAACTTAACATATCCACAGAGGTATTGCAGATGTCAAGCAAAATGTTGTTCATTTTTACACAACTGACTAAAATGAAAATGAATACTATAATTGGAAACAAATGATAAAAAATGTGATGTCATAATATGTTCTTGTTTTTACTGTAATTCCCAGCAAATTTAAAATTCTCACATGTCACCTTTTATTTTTGGGTCCAAGCTGATTAGTTAAAGAGAATCAACTTTATCAACGAGACAATTCTGTCTCTCTTTTTTTTCCGCCGCCATACTTTCCATATATCAAAGATTTAAATGTGAAATATTGCTCAAATTTCTTATAATAGAGGACTTCAGTTTCCAACCAACACATTTGTTATTATGTGGAGGCGGGGGCGTTCCAGTATGCAGGCGGTAGTGTCTGCGTTTGTAGCGTCGTCAGTGTTGTGTCGTCTGCTTACATCACTGTCGTCTGCTTACCTTGATTTAATGTTTATATATAATGATTGATTTCATGAATTTGCAACAGTTTTGGGGTAATCACCTACTTTTTCTCATAGTAATTACGCCATTGTATATATTTTTCCCCATGTGTTTGTCAGCTCATGGTTCAATAATCTTTAAAGCTACAACCATAATTAATATGCCATCAATATTATTACACAGTCTGTCACAATGCCTCAGACCTAATTACCTATTTGCACATATTTTTAATAATGAGCTTTTTTGAACAGGACTATTTTGTGGGAACGAAGCACAATTAAATCAAGCAATAATATTGAATTTGCAATCAGGGATGCAGACATAAATCGTGCACAAATTGTTTGCGAGCACAGCGGTTTAGTTAGAAGGTTATTTTTTGTACAATTATCCAAGAGTCCTGATTTCTGTAGATAACGGTGATGCACGTATAATTAAGATGGATGCAATAGATCGTAAAAAATGGCTAGGTAATTGGCCCATTAATCTTCAAAAATGGTAAATGTTACAGTTTGAACATTGGCCATATAGCTGAACCAGCTTGTGCTTCCTTTGCAATGTAATTATTAAAATTTGTACAGTTAGTGACTTTGTATGGATGTCAAAATACCACTTTGTTTACATTTTGCTGCATTTATAAAAAATGTGCATCTTTTGCTTAGGGGTTTCCTTTAATGGTTGAGGAAATGTTTAAAGATATACTATGCTCAAATTTGTTATGCGTCATTGTAAGAGGCGACTAAATGAATTCACATCTCTTAGCTCCAGCAGGTGAGATGGTTTTGATCCCTGGTGTTGCTTTGAAGTTTGTATTCCTGTTTTGGCGCCATATGACCTATATTGTGAGAACCAAACAAACTTATCAAAAATGTTTTCACATTTGACACTATTTACTTTAGGTGATAGGTATATGAAATATTTAATATGCGTAATTACAACATTATAAAACGCATGCTTTCCCTTTCTACAGAAAGACAAAAAAGTACATGTACTTATTCATTGGCCTTTATGTGCCTTTAATTTGCTAGCTGTTTCTTTTGCATGCAGTCTAAAGCCTTGAATATTTCAAATCCCTTCATTTTAAGGACCCCCATAGCTGATTGGTGTGGCTCACTGATTTCAAAGCATCAGATCTTATATATACTGGTTCGAACCCTGCCAGGGACATCGAATGATTTCATGTAGGCGGCGAAAGTTTTATCAGATTTACTCGCGTCTGTTGCCGACCCATTACCGAAACAATGCACGGAGTGGCATTTGAGATGTTCCTCCACTGGTTAGGCCAGATATGTTTTCGGATACATGTATATAAAAAGATTTGTGTATCTATAAAATATTTGTATTATGAATTAACCGTATTATGAATTTACCCTAAAAATACGTACATTATATGACTTTTCATATTGTTGGTCAAGTCCAAGTAAATTCTGGCTAAAAATTATGTACAAAATGTAACACATGGCGACTGGCTTTTTCACCTTGTTGGCCATTTGTATCAAGTCCAAGTTTATTCTGGCTTTAGTATGAATGGATAACTCAAGGACTTTACATGATACCACTGTCTTGCGCTTAACACGGTTTATGTTCCTTTAAGAACCCGTCATTATTTGTTGCAGCAATGCAAGCTCATTTTGGCTCAGACATTTTCTACTCACCTTGGCAAATTTAAAATTTGCATCAGTCAGTTGTCCTTATGTCGTCCATAACTGGGTTGTTAAACACTGTTCTGGTGACGTTTTATTAGGTCTTCACCAATTTGAATGTTTGACTTACTGAAACTAGGCTGAACATGGGTAAACTTGGACCAAAAGTTACGTCACCTTATCAAATCAAATAATAAAAAAGAAAAACTTTTGAAAAAAACTTGAAACATTTGAAAGAAAACAACAACCCCCATTTTATACAATTATCGATATAACTTGTTTCTTTGTTATACCGGTTGTACACGGCCGGTTCTCCGGCACGTACATAACACAACAATAATTTAAAAATGATGTATGTCCGATTTCTTTCCTCCTTTTGTTTGCGTTGTGCGATTTTCAGTATCATGTTTTCGTATAATTTGAAATACTTGTACTTCAGCGTTATTCATGCACGTGTCTCGTCAGCGTTATATAAGTACGTGTCTCTATTATTATTTCTCTGTATTTCTCATTTGTTCTGCGTATTATACATGAACGGGTTTCTTTGTTGATATTTTTGCCTCTATGTTCTTCCGTGTGACGCACGCACATATTTCTGCTCTGTTATTTCAGTAGTTGAAAAATAGGGTAAAGTATGTGTTTTGAAAGATATATTATTTCCTTGTTTAGCATCTAGCGTTGAATTCTTTACAGACATTACAACTGTTTGATTATATATAACATTCTTAGGTCCTTGAATTCAGAATTCTTTAACACAAAGAGTTCAAAATTACTGAAACACCTATTTTTATCACATGCATTTGTGTTCTTAAAATACATTGAGTCATTTCTATTGTAATTGTGCAGTATGTCAAACAGATGGTCTAGATTTTTCAGATTTTATTTTATACTCACAACAGTAGACGCTATGTGTTAAAATAAGGCATTAATGGTAGTTGCAAAAATGTTACCGAGTTCTTCGTCCCAGGGTTACTCCTCCGGGATCTACAAATGGTTCCAAAACTAATAGTGTTAATTAGGATTGAATACTTAATTAAACCGGTGCCAGGGAGGCGTAACAGATGATACATTTACCGTTATTACTCTTTTTTTGCAAAGTCATGTAAGTACTCGCAGCAGCAGCTGTGTGGCAGCTGTAAAAAGTTGTCCTGTACTTCATCTTAGTGCACGTGCTATTACATCTTTCTAGCTCTTTGACCCTCGAAGTCTTTGATGCCAGTACTTTTAGTGTAAAGGATTGAAACCGATACTGGGGGTGGGGGTGGAGCGGGCCTGAGAGATGACGAATTTTCCATCAACTTTCGTGCAGAGATTTGATAAAACTGAGTCTGAGATTTTCATTTTTTCAATGCACCGTGCGTTCCCACTTGCACAACATTCTTGTCCGGACTGTAACTTTGTCATGCATTGAAGGATTTTAAAATAACTCAGCACAAATGTTTCCACATCATAATGATGTGTCTTGTCTAAAATCCATGTCCTTATCTCAAAGGTCAAGGTCACACTGACAGTTTGAAATGTTCAAATTCTCACAATTAGAGTGCACGCATTCGTGTCCGGACTGTTACCTTGTCATGCATTGAAGGATTTTTAAATAACCCAGCATATATGTCTTCCACATTAAGATGACGTGTCGCCTCCAAAACCCATGTCCCTACCTCCAAGGTCAAGGTCACATTTGTAGTTTGAAGGTACTCACAAAAAGAGTTTGAAGGTGCACATTCGTATCCGGACACTATAATTTTGTTATGCATTGAAGGATTTTTAAAATGCATGTTTGTATTTTGAAGGAACATACATTGGATGGTCCAGTGTTGGAAGTCTCAAGGTCAAGGTCACTTGTGCTTACAACATAATTTTAAAAACTTTTTCTTATACTGCCTTTGTGCGTTTTTTTTTACCAATGCCTCATATTTAGAATTAGCCAAGGTCTTGCATTTACATTTACATGTATTTGAAAAAAGTTGGTAAGTTGAATATTTGTCAACATCCTCACATAGCAATGACATGCCAACTTATATTTGTCACAGCAACAAAACACCATAGTCAACTCATATGACTATGTTTACATTTTTTCCATAACTGAGTGAATGGTTAAACCTCTTGAATTGTTTATGCTTTTCTTGATCGGTATGTTTAAGCCAATCCAATTATGGTACCGGATGATATGATGGTGGAAATTTCCATATTGGAAAGGCAGACGCAACTTTTCAGCTATTTTCGTCAATCTTCGGATAATGAAACAACCGGAACAACTCGGTTGTTATGAATAATATGATTAATATCCGAAGTTTGACGGAAATTAAGGGAATTGATAAAGATATTGAATAATCGCAGAGGTATTATTGATGTATAGGTTACAAGGTTAGCTTTTAAAAAAGCTAGTAGCGACTCGCTTCGTAATTTCTTTCCAGGGGCGTGTTTAAATGTAAAAATGACAGTTCTGTTAGCTGAAAAGACTTCAGCGAACATCAAAATAAAAGTGACATATAAAGTTAAGGAAGCCAGTTCTCTCAGTTTAACAAAGAGGAATATGAGTATATATGAAGATGTAAACAGATAGAATGAAGTCCCTATGTCTATGCACATTTACTATATGGCCTGTTGACCTTGACCAGAAAAAAAATAGATAAGTAGAATTCATAAAAATGTCTCTTTATACGAAGTTAAGTTGTAATATGTTATTTAGTATTGGAATAAGTGACAGATACAAGTCCTAAAGTAAACACAAGTTGTCTATCAATTCAGCCAGAAAAGCCGGGATCCTATTAAAAAAATAGGATCCCGGAAATTGACCAGTTCAAGAATATAGTTTTCAGAAAAGCCGGGATCATATTAAAAAATTAAGAGATCCAAGGAATTGGACAGTTCAGGAATATTGTTTTCAGAAAAGCTGAGATCGTATATAGGGATCCCGGGATATGACCAATTCAAGAATATAGTCTTTGATTTTTCCAATTAATTAGGCATATAATTATAAGTATTGTGATTTTGTTAATAAATAGCTCTAAATATATCTATATCCTAAGTTAAATCAATTTAACTTTCATTACATACAATAAAAAAACTTAACGTTTAATGGCCTTTCATTACGACAATAATCAACACAAATATAGTTTATTAGTTTTTACCCTTATTATCTTATACGATCCCGGATCCCGGGATCGGCCAGTAAATACATACACTAAATACCGGAAAGGATAAAATGACCGGAAAAAAGGAAAAAGAAAAAAATGCACAGAACCAGATGTCGTTTATGTTAATTAACCAAACGAAAACTTACTACAGAGTAAACAGGACTGGTGAAATCGCTAAATCAAAAGTCAGTGTAAATATGATTTACTGAAAAGAATCCATGAAAACAAACATTTTAATCATCAATATATCTTTGCGCTCAAAACAATACTTGCTGCTTTTTAAAAATGGCGTGAAAATTGAAGGTTTTTTGACGCTATATAAGATCAAATTTGATTGGCTAAATAATTTTGGATCCTAGCCCTGATAGATAAATTTTGTAGAAAGCTGGAAGCTAAGCTTCGATTAAATTTTTGGATTGATTCGGAGTTTTAGGTTGTTTCTCAGTAAAATCCTATCGTAATACCGGCTCGCCGTGGCGAGCCGGCACAAGAAAAGAAGCAATTTTTTAAATGCATATTTTATTGCTCAAGATACAGCATTGAAAATAAATATATTTACTATGTACAAATAAAATATCATGAAAACTTGACATATTTCTCTTCGAGATGGATACGGATTTTCTGAGAACGTTTTAACAATGTTTGAAATAAAGTAGAGGGTACAATTAAAATTAAAAAATAAGAATAAATTATGATAAATCGACTTTAGAAGTCTACATTTAGCACTTTTTTTTAAATTCCTCTTTAAAGCACATTAATTATGCCTCAGAAACGAAAGGATATTTACTTCTTAAGAAAGGTCAAACATGAGTTTTTATAACATTTAAATAGTGATTTCAGAGCATGTTAAATGCTGTAACCTGAAGAATGTAGAGCTTAATATGAAATAATAAAGTCATAAAAGGTAGCAAAATGTAAATAAAGTAGTATTTTGACTTTAATACAAAATGCTTAATCAACAAATTTGTACTAATTGCTAAAAAGCAACAGAAGAAAAGGACAGTTCATGTAACTGGCCAATGAGTGATGTTTTGGAAACTATAAAAAGAAAAACAAAAAGAAAAAGATTTGAGAAATAAAAATAAAAGCATTTCTGGGGCACAATGGGCCTTTAACAACTTTTGCGGTTTTATTTTCACTTGTCTCAGACATTGCTACAAATTATTTTTGATTTATTTCACGGAGACAATATCCGTTTTGAAATATGAATGCGTACGTTTGTGTGCAATTGATTTATTAACCGAAAAGCATGATAGCAAAAATAAAATGCATGTACGATACAGAAAAATAAAAACAAAACAATATAACTTGTTTTTTCTTTCGTTTTTTATAAATGATAAATGAGATTTCGCATTAATGGAGAAATAACGAGAAGTTACGAGATATGGTAATAATATCCATATTTCTTTTACGCTGGTATTATTATGCCTCTTTAATTCGAATAAAACTAAACTTTAAAATGTCAGCCGTTTAGACAATTTATCAAAATATTTTTAAAAATTAAAATAATAATCACGATTTTGATGTCTCGTTAAAATCCGGTGATGTAATTCCAAAAAACCTCGCGCATGTTATTTTGTTTGTGGTAAATTCAAACTTTCATAAACACTGCTTTAAAATGAGCAAAAAGTGAAAAATTACGTTTGCTTAATTCAAAAATGATGTATTGGTAATGAAGTAAAAAAATCTCTTTAGCTTTAATTCAACTGGCCATCAATCAATGTAGCTGCATGGACTACTTTTTGTTTACGTTTGTGTCACGTGATCAAGTTTGTACTTAATATTTTGATCCAGATAGGTCACAATAATCTCTAGACAGGATGTTGTTTTTTAGCATTAACATTAAATTTTATGAACATAATAATTATGTAATGAATTATATTTAAATGTTTATCTAATGTATGCATATTAAACACTCACGAAAACGGAGTATTTCTGATTTCGTCTGATATTTTGTTCACTAGATATTTTACGAAAATTAAAAAGATAGCTCCTTTCGGATTTGCATTTTTTGACAGAGACAGTCGGGAAAAAAATATTTCATTTTAAATATATTTATATATGCACAGACTGTAGGTCGTACGGTGATGGTAAAAATGCGGGAAAATCTCATTTGTGTCAAAGTCATATCAAAGTGTCACGCCTTTTCACGTGTTTACCAAGGTGGAAAACATAAATGATACCTTATCTTTATGAAAATAACAGTTAATGTCTTGATAAATGGCACGACTTTTGTCTTGTTCTGTATTTTCAAGGCAACTCAAACTTAACCATGTAAGATTAGTAGCTATTGTAAAGGAATTCGAAACTAGGGCTATATTTAACAATTTTATGGGAATTCGAAACTGAGGCTATGTACAATTTGCAGTCTAACTCTTTCATATCACAGTTATGTAAAACTAAAATCTTTTGTCCATAGGTCTGAAATGAAACCATTAAATCTGTGTCTGTAATTTATATGTTGAAGAGCCTTTTGCGTAGAAACAGAAGCCATTCCAAATAAATTCTCAGATTACGTGTTCTGCACGCGGTTCCTCCCATAACATGCGCGCGCAAGGCCGGATATAGACAGTTTAGTTCGAAATCGGACTGCGTGATTTTACTCCTGACAGCGTCTAACGGGGAATTGCTTACATTTTCAACTTTAGCGAAATGTTGAACCAGAAGAGTGACTAACCCGGGACTGAGTGTTGGTCCTGGAATCAAGAAAGCTGGACAAGTCTGCTCGGAATTGATAACATTTTGGTTTGGCGAGAAGAAGTCCGGAACTATGAATGCGCATTCCTGTTTGCTATCAGCCCTCTGTTGGGCGGCAGAGGCGGCAGTCGCTGCTGGTCTCATACTGTTTAGCAGACGGTCGTTTACTGTATTTTTCAATGCACTAACTTTCGGTTGTGTGTCTTGAACGGGTGCAGAAGCGAAGACCGCCTCTTGCCTTTTTACGACATTAGCTGGTTTAATCTGCCCTAACCTCACTTCTTGTGCTCGGGAAGGTCTCCCGACAGGAACTGGTACAATTCGTGTTTCCGGTTTGACTGGGATGCCACTATTACCACGGGTTTTAGCTTCCAACGTCGGCAGACGAGCGTTTGAGGGGCGATCGTTTGTAGCTTGGATTGGCACGTCAGACAGTGGTAACCGGATGTTCCTATTTTGCATGAATGGAACAGGGCTATTGCGTGGGGCTGAGAAGAATGGATCACTATTTAGTGCTTTTCGTAAAGCATCTTTACCTAATCCTGAAAAGGAAAGACGAAATTATAGATACTAGTACTAGTGTGAGAATCAGTAGTGAAACTAACAATAAATGCCCAATAGGACGTCGCTCTGATTTATTTTTACGTCATAATGAATAGTGAACAATTCCATAATCACAGTATGACAACTACACGAGTTATTTGAAATAATATTAAATTAGATATGATTTTTAAGAATAGCAATTTTTGAAAAAGAAATACATGTATGTATAACTGTAATCTAATTCTTTTCTGCTTAGCTTAACATGAAATATGATTTTTTTATTTTGCTTTTTATTCCATTCTACACATCTTACAGTATCGTTTTCATGTTACATGTATATTCTTTTTGAGTAAGATCTTGCCACCAATCCCTACTGGCAGATAACATCACATGACCCCGTGGGCAGGACTAACCTACATTAATAGCTTGGAAATGGATGGCGACTGACTCGCATAATGTTTTAAGCAGTGATCCAGTGGTAGGACACGCTCTCCGAAATCGAGATTACTTGGGTAGCAACTTTCGGCTTTTCTGTGAGTCTACTCTTCGGATATGATTAATAGCCGGGGATATATATTGTATGGTTGATATATTTCTGCAAATTTTGATACCAAATTTCTCACTGTTTTTCTCGTGTATGTATTTATACCAAATTTTCAAGTAATCAAGCACGAGTCCAACTAAGTTTACTACGCGATGAGATATTGTGCTGTTTTGTTTATGGACAATATCTCCCCTTGCGAGATTGTGGCCAAGAACAAACATATCATTTTGTCTAATCAAGCGCACACTTTCTTTTCCACATGAGTTATATATACATGTACATGTTTATTATTAAGGAAATAATGAATATTAACTTACGTGCATATGTTGCTCCTACAAACAGTGACATACATAGGACAACCAGTTTTGCCTTCATCTTGAATTCTAGAAAAAAAGAGAGCAAAATAATATAGTTAGAATAAAACAATCGGAACATCCTCGGCTATTAATCATATCCGAAGACTCACAGAAAAGGCCGAAAGTGATAGTCCTTCAATCGAAACATCTCGGCTAGATATATTATTCATTATCCGAAATTGACGGAAAGAACCGAGAAGTTGCGATTGATAGTCCTTTAGGAAAGGACCGAGAAGATGCGATTTTCAAATAAAATGAACAATCGCACTTTATCACAGGCTAAAGATGTGTCAAAATCTGTTGTTTTAACTTTCGGTATAATTTATCATGTGTACGCCAATTTGTCGTTTGATGATACATGTGGCGATAAATCAACAAAAACAACATGTCATCTTTGCTTTTCTTTTTGCAGAAAACCACATTTCTTCACTGCATGTATATACAATGTATGTTCAATTTAAATTAATGATCAACATTATTTTTTGTCCAATCACATTTTAGTATTTTTCAAATTTCTGCTGTTGTTCGAAACTTTGTAACCAAAATGCCTTAAAGTTTCATTTTATGTCTGGTCTTTAATTTTATTTTATCTATTTGTACATAAGACAAGTTTGTAACTGTCACGAAAAAAACTGATTTTTATAACGTAAGTGTTAAACATAAGACTGTATAAGAGACAACTTTCTTAAACGAATTCTGAAAGTCAGAAAATTCTGAAGAGAAAGTTAACATAGATGATAAAAAAGTGCGAAAACTAAAAAACTTTAGAAAAATAATACGAATTTACGTAAATCCAGAACCTTCTCTTATCATTAAAGTATGTACTAGTATGTAAAGAACAAAATTACATTGTTTTGTAAATTTTAATTTTTACAAATGTAAGAGGTTTAATTAAGAGGTATTATGCGAAACATTTGATCTAAAATTATTTTAAGATCGCCACATACATGTTTTATATCTGTATAGAATAATGATGAAATAACCGAGTTTAAGTTGACCAATGGTGAAGCAGAGGTATTTTAAGGTAAGGTTACGTTAAAAACGCTAATGACGTTAATAAATTCTTGTGTTGGAGTTTGCGGTCACCGTGTCAGTTGTATTAAATTCGTCATTGAAGGAAATGATAATCGATCAATCATTGTATGATCACGAAATCAGATTACCACCCCCAGTACTGCCAACTATCTTATGTGCTTCACGCGCGATAAAATCACTTTAAAATTAATCAACATTTTCTCAGTGATTTAAGTTTTTTTTTCTTCAAAAAACTAGATATAGCTATATATACTTTAAAGGAATTCCACTGAGGTTCGAAAAGCATAAAATAACAATAAATTTTGAATTTCTAGATAGATCAACTAGGGCACTTTAAACGGAAAGAAATGGAAAACATTGTAATGAAATGTACTTCAAATAAAACGGAAAAACGTATTATTGTGCTCATCCTTTTTCGACTTGAGCTAAAAGGGTTTATATGATTTTCAGTCTTAGACAATTTTTCATTATTAAAATAATCATGTTGTAAAAAAAAGGTTTTAGCCAATGATCTGAAATTTTGCACAAAAGATATCGGCCCAGACCTACATCAAATTTTACATACATTTCGAAAGAAAATATTTCCAGTCCCATCATTTCAAAACACCTCAGTGGAGTCCCTTTAAAATATAATTCAATTATACACCTGTAATTTGTTTGTCATATTAACTGCATAATTTACGACCAAATAGAAATAAAATATGTATTGTACATACACTGTTAACAGATTTGTTGAACATTTGCACATAGTATTTTTTAAAACTTAGAAAAATGAAAAGCACCATGCATTTTTCTTTTCCATAAATTGATTGCTCTTGCAGACAACATGTTTTATCTAAATATTTTTTTTATTCTAAATTAACATTTCATTTAAGAAAGTGACCGCAACTATTAAGATGATGTTATATTTCGTAATAATTCAAACTTTACTTACCTTTTGCTAGTTTCCGTGAGCTTAATTATATAATAAAATTATAACAAATGTTTTATGTTTGTATGTCAGTCAGAGTTTGACTTGGTGTCCGTTGATACAGGTCGTTTTATAAACAACAAAATGCGAAAATTTAGTCCCGGGCGCAAAACAATTGTCATATCAGAAGTATGTGCGAAGTTGATTAATGTACGTGACGCCTTTTTCGTCCGGCGTTGAGGTAATTACCTAATTAACCAATCAGGTGCGTTTTTACTAAAACCATTCGACCAATGAAATCGCTTGACGCATCAATTACACTGCTGAAGTTTGTAATCAAACTATTTTTGGGTTAATTTTTCGTGATCTACTTAATGGTTGTTATTTATTTATCTTAAATTCTCATTGTGATTGAAGCATTTAAGATTTTGTTGTAAATATAGTTTTGTATGTACTAACAAGTTCAAGAAATAAAACATTTATAATCATGATGGCGGTACAAGAAACATCATAAAGGGATAGTCCGTAAGTATTTCCGTGGATGATGACAAGCATCTTTTTATTACACGCTGCAATAAAAATAAAATAATAAACAACGCTCTGATTTCATTTTTGAAAACCGCGCGCGTTCGTGCTTGTGTGTGCGTGTGTGGTTTTCGTGTTAATGTGAGTTCATCCTGCCTGTTGGTCTGGATACGGCATTTCTTTGAATCAAAATGGTAATTTTCTTTGCTAATATTAACAAAATATACTTTCTTTCTTTCATTTTTTTTTACTACGGCGATACTGTTCAGAAATAACTCTATTCTAGGAGAAACACACAGAACTACACGTGAGTTCGATTTTTAAAGTCTCATCCGTATTCTTTTATAATTTTTATAGTTTTTGCGGGCCAAGTGGGGAATCGGACTCAATAAGTTTATATTTGTAGTACCATCAGGCTGTTGCGCCCAGTCTGACGATGTTATCAAATAGATATGTCAGTATTTGTGTGAAAAAAATACTAAAGTAGTTTTAACTTCATGTTTATGAAACATATCTTTAAAAACAATGTGATAAAATGTGCGATTTTATACTCTGCATTAAAATGTTTTTTTAAATGGACATATTATGTTAAAATTGGCTTCATTTCTTTGTGTTAAAATGGGCTTCCCTTTTGTATTAAATAGGTTTCTTCAGTTACTTATTAATAATAAATTCTTAATATTACCTTTGCCTTTTGACTTCAAACCAGTTGCCTCTCACCGCTGTTGGCTTGACTCACGTCAGGAACTTAGGATTGTCTTCCTGTTAGACAACAACCCAGTTAGCTTACGAAACGTCGGCGGTTTTACGATGACTGAAATAATACACGGAGGGACACCCGAGGTCAGCCTCCAGTATTAAAAGCTGGAATGTCGCCATATGACCTTCAGTGTTGGTACAACTTAAACCCCAACAAAAACATCCAACACATTCTGGAATATCAGAGCTGGTTTCATTTTATACATATTTTATTTGAAATTTGCTGTTTATACAAAGGTCGAGGTTATAATACATGTAGTTTAAAGATTTAAAAACAAATCTAAATAAAATCAAAGAGAAATTTATTTTGAAAAATACCGAAATAACGTATAGCTAAATTTTAAGAATATTATCAGAATACAGGGGTAACAAGGTTCTGATTGCCAGGACCATAGACTATATTGTTGAATCATCTATTACTTTGTACCATGTATTAAAGGAACTCCACTGAGGTTTTGTTTTTAAGGAAGGAACTGGAAATAATTTTTTAAGATCTATAGTTCATTTGATGCAGGTCTAGACAATTAACTCGTGATCAAAATTTCAGACCATTCCGTTTTGTTTTTGTTTTTTTTTTCCTTCAGAATGTTTATACTAACTGTGAAAAATGACCCACAATTGAGAATTTAAATTTGGCTGAAAAAGCACAAAAATACGACCTTCCATATATTAATATATGGTTACTGATCAATAATTTTGGGAAAATATAAAGTTAATAGTTCGGTATTATTTACGTTGTAGTGCTTGGAAATGTAAACTTGTTTACAATGTACATCACATAAAGCCTTTAAATGTATGTTAACAGAAAGTGACACCTTGGTTTGAAGATTGTACAATCTAAAATACATCTATCATATTTATAATGAAAACATAAGTACGTACACTTTTTTATGCTAATTAAGACCCAAACGTATTTTGAATCTTATTATTATCATAATTATTATTATTATTATCATTATTTCTATTAATTATTAGTAAAGTTATGGTAATTCATTATTTTGTTGAGAAGACTAAATACCCCATTTTTGTTTACGTTTTGCTACTTCTATGACAAATTAATTCACATTTAACGCTATATTCTTAACGTGATTAGAATCCAACATGCACTTAATTCATTATTAAAGGCCCATCACGCCTCATAAATACTATCATTTTCATTTTCAAAAACTTTTCAGTTTTGCTGTACTGTTTTGGAAAAATATTCATCGACCAGATAGCTGGGACATCTTTCGCTTTTTTTTGTGTGTGTTTTAGCAATGAGTACAGTTATAGAGATTAAAGGCACATTACGCCTCAGAAACGAATACTTTTTTATTATTAAAAAAGGGGATACTATAGGGACTAAAAATGGTCTTAGAGTATGTTACAATGAGTAACGTTTCGGAAACCATAACAAGATAACAGAAATAAAAGGTTTTAGGGAAATCAAAATAATGGGCCTTTAAGTATTTTGTATGGAAATCAAACTACTGCAGTAACTTTGTTACCTTTATGTACATCCAGTACTATTTTTTTTAAGTTATAAGCATGTCACATGTTCTTAATCTAATTATTACAACTTTTCAAAATACATGTTTGTTCTTTCTGCAGAAGGAATTTTTTATTTATTTAATAAGACTAAATGTGCCTTTAATGATAAAAAAACATGTTTCGCCCTTTCTACAGTAAAGACAATTTCTGAGGCCTAATTTACCTTTGTAATTTAAATATTCAGAACTACTCAATCAAAGATATGTACTTTAAACAGCCTTGAACTGTAAACCATAACGTTTTAACGTCATAATTTTCAACAAATTACATATATACTAATTTCGTGAAATAATAAGGAAAAATACAAATAATATAACATTTTTTCCTACGCAAGATTTCGCAATTGCCCTAATCAAACGGTTGTTAACATACTTTTTCAATGTTAAATCATGTGTTTGTTTACTTGTAATATGCGTACATACAATACAATGTGGTTATCACCGTGTGACACCGTTCACCAGAGTGTCCGGTTGAAGGACTCTCTTCTGCTTCTTACATGTGTAAACGTGTCAAAGGTTCAGGAAAAATAATCAATATTCTGCGATACAAGATTACAAAACAGGATACCATTACTTGCAACCAGAGTAAAAAGCTAACAACAAAAAATCATGTTAAAACCTAGCCAATCAAAACATACAATTCAAATTTATTACATGCTTTTCGATGGATTATAGAAATATATCAGTGATTTATAAACTGGTAATTTCACTGTTTGAAACAGTGAAATTATCAATATGATAATTTCACTGTTTTGAATTTTAGCCCGTTACGTTGTCTCAGAGAAATACCAGCGTGCACAGTACTGGAAACCAGCTTAATGACGTGACGTCGTAAATGACGTCACGTTGTATTAGAATTTGGCGCGCTTTTCATTTAGTATTAGGATAAAATGTCTTTTTAAACGTTTCTTAGCATGTAATAAAAAGAAAATTTGTTTAGTTTAGTGTAAGATCGAAATATATTTCACCTCGTGAACACCAAAAGTTCATATTTCACTCGTGGCTGCGCCACTCGTGAACTATACCTTTTGGTGCTCACTCGGTGAAATATATTCCGATCTTACACTGCACTAAACAAATATCCTCTATGTCTTCCCAGAAGACTGTACGTAATTTAATATTTTTATATTCTGCAACGGATATAGAAATCAGTTCATAACATTCACTTCATGGAGAAACAACCTTTTTCGTCAACGTGTAAAGTACCATTTCACCGGACTTCGGTGGTAAGTAATTGTAATTAGAATTCGCGATTCCTGAGCTTGTAATAAGATGGTACGTAACGTTATCCCCGAACAGGTGCGTCTGCTCTAGTGATGTTATTCAACAGATGTTTCTGCATTTGTATTTGTGACAAAGACACTGCAATAAAACGCCAACTCGTCTTATTTTAAAGGGGATTAAACGTTATCTTTAAAAAAGTGTGTTAAAATTGGCTTCATTGGTTTGTGTTAAATTAGGCTTCATTGCTTTTGTATTAACTTAAGTTTTATTCCTCTGGATTTTATAGCTTAATACTGAAATAAGCCTCAGGAATCTGTATTACAATGGGCTATATTTGACTGATCATAAGTTAGACATATATTTTAAATAATTGCTTACTTGTGGTATATATCTATGTACGATATATATATGAGTTAACACCGTGTAACACCGTTCACAGGAAATCCCATTTCTGCTTGTTGCACGTGGTTACTAGACAGTTTGCGGATAAAGTAATCTTACGAAAGAGCATATCCTAAATTGCTTGAATTCAAAGACAAAACAAACAAAAGAACTCGAAAAGCAATTAAACAACAACGACAAGAACAAAAAATAATCACATGCTAAAAATATCCTTGTATTGAATTATACATTTTTTAAGGGGAATGATCGTATCAATCAATCATCATCATTCAACAATTTTGTTCGTAATTGTTTTTTGTTTTTTATCTTTTTATTGTTGTTTCTTTTTGTAAATAACAAAATAAAATAAGTACATAACCCAACTAGGGTATTTAAAACGAAAAATATGCAAAAGATAATAAAGAAATATGCTCAGAATTAAATCGAATGTTGCACAAATCTAAAAAAAATACTACTCTTTTCGTGATAAAAAAAACTCTTTGGAGCCCTTTTTATGGTTAAGTAAAAATAATGAAAAAGTTAAGAATGCTTAAACAAAATACTTGCTTACTTCTTTCATAAACAATGGCGGAATTCTTAATTCATACATTTATGTTTTATATAAATTGCAGCAAAATCATACTAATTTATTCAAGAATTGGCTTACTTAAAAAAAATAATTATATTAATTTTGTTTTTGATATAACAAATTTTTGATAAATTTCTTAAGTTTAAATTTTTGATATATTAACATATATTTTTATTTTTGATGTTATAGATTTCAGCGAAGTCGTAATAATTTATTCATCAATTTGCTTACTAACCTTTTCCGAATTATTAATAACTGTATTTTTGTTTTTACTAAAGAAAAAAATGAAAGAAAATACAACAAATTATATTTATTTAAGATATATCTAAATTTCCATTTTTGCTAAATATAAAAAGAAGATGGAAACGTGTTTTAAATAAATTCAAATACAAAAAATATTTTTGATAGATTAAAATTATCCTTTTCCATTTTGCTAAATAAGAGAAACGCGAAGAAATTAAGATATTCAAATACAAATAATACAAATGAAAATTATTTTTAAATAAATCCGAACTCTTGTCTGCATTAATTTATTAATTGTAATTTGGTTTATAACCACCATTATTTTAATAGGATGTATTTTCTACTATCACTAATCTATCTAGAATAACAAAAGACCCCATTTCAGCTAAGTGTACGACAATTATCAGATGTGCGAAACAATTACCTGCAAATCGGAAGTAGTTAACTGCAGAACAAATATTAGCATAAAATGGTCACACCAAATTATGGTTAATTGTAAGGATGTGGCAAATTTAGTTTCGCAATAGAAAATCTTGTTATCACATTGGATAAGTAGCGGGTGTTATTCTACCTTTAAGGCAATCAGATAACTCGCACCTATATAAACAGAAGCCACTACCAATATCGTCACTCGCATTCCGAGATCTTCTTTGGTATAACCATCGAAAAGCTCTGACATTGCTCTCATACTATTTACCTCGATCGTTCATATGCAAAGTTTCATTTTTGCCAATCATTATCTACAAACCATGTTTAGAACACCAAGTCCTGCACGTGCCAAGGTGATGACGGCGAAGAGAATCATTTTAAGACGCACTCAGCATAATTTCCGACGAGCCTGCGACCAAATCGTTCTGTTGAATCGACGAATGGAAGGCGTTCTTTACAGATACCATCAAGCTCGTACGCAGACGAATCGCAGCTTCCGGTACAAATTGCGCCTGCGCCTAGCAATAGTAGAAGGAATCCGAAACATGTTTTACGAATATGCAAACCGAAAGGCATACGAGATAGTTAGTCTCCGACGAGACCTTTTCGGCGAAATCGTGGAAGTTATCAGTGATGAAGCTGCTAGTGACAACTTCTTCGCAGCCGACAGTCAGGACTATGAGGACCCTGACACCGACGAGTATTCCAGTGACTCCGACATAGAGGATTCTGATGAAGAATATGAAACCGACATGGAGGTCGAGTAAATTCACTTTCTGCTACCAGAAGTGACCAAAACGGCCCTTTTCAGGGCCAACCAAATATTTAGAAAGAATGAACCTGTTCATATTTGTCTATGGTTTATTGTTGCATCCCTACCCATTAAATAAAGCCCGATAGTACCTTACCAAAATTTCCCCCTAGAATGAAACGCAGAAATATATATTTTGGCTGGAGATCAGAAACAAAAATCAAAAAATCGACTAAGGATTTCGAATCCTAATGAATTAGTAAATATCGACTTAATTTTAGAGAAAATCGAAATAACCTGAAGTCGTGAAGTCTGCTCGGGTCTACCATCTTTCGACGTTTAGGTACAGTACCGGCTAGAATAGCGTGTAACTGTCTTCTAGTGTTAATGTAACTAGCCTTAGATAATTCAATATTTAAATAGATTCTTTAAAATGATTTTAAAACCAAAGGAACGCTGCTGAAATAGGCGCTTTAATTATAGTTTGATAACGTTTTCCCCTGAAACAAAAACCGAAACACCTTGACGTGTTCAAAAGGATGACGTTTTAACATTTATATTGTATGCAATTTAAAGCATTAAATGTCTTGATAACGCTATACATTGTCGAATAAGATATTGCATAAAATAAAATAGTGCATAAACAGTTTCGAGGCAATTTGTCACTTGGCGACGCTAAACTAAGATACGTTAAACATGTATTTTTAAATATATTTAATTGGATATTCATTTCGTGCAGTCTGTTTCGAAAATAACATGACCGTCATGTTTGACACGAGAAAAGAAAAATTGACGGTACAAATAAATAGATACATTGTAATAATTTAACTTGCAGTCAAAAGCCGGTATTGGTATTTTTCTTTAAACATTGCAATGACGTCACAAGGGAAAGCGAAATAGGTAAAACGAAAACCGTTGAAAAGGAGGCGAAAGCGGCTTCGGGTTTCTTCCGATATTACTTGAACTTGGTCGATATTAATCAATTCATTATGGTTCTTTTTTCCTTAGTTTATATAAATGTATAATCAAAGCACAGAAGGCACTGAATTTGTTTGGGTCTTTGAATGTCAGAAAGGTGAAGGTTGTGAGATTATAAACCAATTTGTTTTTGTATAGTGCCACCAATTCTTTCCAGTGTTTTAATTGTAGTAAATTGGCTATAATACTAATTGCAACACTGATATCCAATTCAATGTTTATTTGACTTAAACAATTTGAAAAAAAAAATGAGTTGCCTTAACTGGGATTTGAACTCCAGACTTCTTGCTTCCTAATCGAGCGCGCAAAACCTTCGCCTACGATGAAGAAAACCATACTATTCTAAATTAGGGTTAGTAACCCTTATTATTTCGTTTAACACAGATGTAAATAATCATGGAGCTTACTATATGCACGAATATCTATAAAGAATAAAACAATATTAGAAATCTTCGACCATTCAGGAACTATTTTGCTTGAAAATTAATGCGCCTGTCATTTAACCATCTTTACGCAGTGATCTCCCTGAATTTTTTGGCGTTAGTGTACATATAAAAGGAAGTAACCGCTTCAAAAAGCGGACTACTTTCGACATTTGCAATTAACAGCATCAGGGTCTGAAATTTCGCTACCATTATTTGTTTGGTCTGACGACCCAAACAAATAAAAATCAGAAAATCGGTATATAAATTTAAGCAAAGGTTTTATAAATTTAAGCAAAGGTTTTATTTATTACATTGTAATTTCGCATTAAAACCTGCATAAAGCATCATACACAACAATAATATAATACAAATTACTAGAAAGACAGAACGATTTTGTCGCACGAATTCAAGTTAAGAAATATTATTTTACGCTATGAATGCGTAAAAAATGTTAACAATGTAAAATTATATGCAAATGATATGTTAATGATATGTAAATGATGTGTAAATAAGCAAGAAGCCAACAACCTTTCATTGCTCAATCAAAATAATGTTTCTTAACGTTGAAGATATTTCATTTTATCTCGAGAGAGCTGTCCGGCATTGCGACGATTAAAAATTGTATGTAAGCATATCTTGCAAAGGGAGATTATCACTGAAGTCATTGGGCGTTTGGTTTGGTAAAGCTTTCCGGTGACCAGGATGAATGTTTAAAACCAATCAACCGTTCTGAGGCCCACCTGAAACGAAAAGATGGAAATAATATACTTTCTTTAGTGGAAAACAGAAAAGTCAAAAATATACATCTGGTAGAAAAAAATTATCTTACTTTAATAATACACATTGACACTGACCAACTACGGAAATTTAGGTTTGTTGGATTCATGCGAGAGGGGGGGGGGGGGGGGGGCAATGACAACCTTAATAATGGATCTATATTAACAATCATCCTCCATTGATCCGGATGCAGTATGTGATTGTAATTGATACTTATTGGTAAAATGTTTCATTCCTAAATCCCAAATTATGTTTGTTAAAGATATATTATGCTCATCATTAAGTAAACTATTTTAATCATTGAAATTTATTGTATATCATTAAATTCTTACTGAGCATATCTAATTTGAATTAAAGAATGAAAAATCTACGTATGGGAAGCTGCGTTCCCTATGGGTCAAGTAAAATTGGCTCTTTCTGAAAAAAAAAACTACCAGTTTTTTAATTGACACTATATATTCAAATTGTGACCAGCTGCAGTGAGTAGAGTCTTAAAAACATCTGCTTCATGTGTAATAAAACATGTTTATTTTAGTTTTACAAAGACAGTGTATAGCTATTATCAATATTTTCTAATAAGAAATTTGCTCATAGTATATCTTTAATTGATACACAAATGTAGATTTTACAACCCTATTGACAGACCCACATTATGTAATAGAAATGCTGTCATCATTCGTAGTCGTCTGCAAATGAATTTACAAGGTGAATGCTGACAAGGGAAATAACTCTTGTCGTCATAAACACGGTAAATGTATATTTATTAGAATTTGTAATGCTATGGAGGAAACTAACTACTAAAAGACAATATACTTTAATGGTGGTCATTTTTTTCCTGTGTTGGTGGGAGGGACATCTATTGACCTACTAATGGGACACTACATACTTTTATTAAATGTAATGTGCTATACATGCCCTTGGAACAGTCTCTCTTTTACAAGTAAGACATTGCTGTGTGAGGTACACAAGGCAAACATTGCATTTAATTAGTCCGTTTACTTTTGTTTGTCCTTTCTAAAGAAGCAAAAATTTATTCGTTTCTATGCCTTTAACAAACAATATTTAGAATGCAGTGTTCTTTTGAGTATAAATACGAAACAAAAAATATGAAAACAAAACTAAACCAACAGAGTAAATAAAATGCATCCACGTACCGAAGAAAGCCTGTTGAAATCCATCTTGCCAACCTGTAAAATTTAATAAAAAGTGTCATTTTATAAGTATTATCATTCATCATATAAAGAGTCTACAGCTTTTAAGAATGCGTCTAGTACTTAAGATTTTTCCCCGGTTTTGTCCGTTTATTTGATTGAGTTTTACGACACAGTATAGGTCATATGGCGACGTTCCAGCTTTACTGGTGGGTGAAGACCTAAGATGCCCTTTCGTGCATTATTTCAGTTTAGCAGAACCACCGCCGTTCCGTAAGCTAGCTGGAAAGCTTCCACACACGAAAGAGTCCAAACTCCCTGGAGGGATTCGAACCCACAGCGGTGAGGACAAGTGGTTTGAAGGTAACGACCTAAACCACTCGGCCACAAGTTCACCTCTAACTTCTTACGGTCTTGAAACATTAACAAAAAAGTGTTTACTTTTTTTAAAAATAGATGTTGTGATGGTAGATATCTTATCCTGTAAGGGGACATCAGTGCGTGGGAGAACGGCGTTTACGAGTCGAACAGTTTGAGAAATATACGGAACTTTTAAGAGCAAAACCATTTTTTTTTCAATGTCAGTAGCCAGACCTAGCTATAGTTGTGCTCATACGTGTATAATGTCATATTGTAAATGCATTGATGCGTGCTACCTGTTTTATGAAATCAGTTATATGCATAGCGATAACCCCAACCACAAAAATAAATAAATAAAAATGATATGGAGCGAGCTACATGTAGCTTGCTGGATAGTTCTGTTTAATGAACGAAGCAAAAAGCATTAGCCGAGATTAAAACCAATAGCGTCCTGTGGAGATTAAGGCTTTGCAATACTGGTTATTTTCCTTAAGTGTTATATGAGCCGTGTCATGACAAAAACCAAAATAGTGCGTTTGCGACCAACGTGGATCCAGACCAGCCTGCGCATCCGCGCAGTCTGATCAGGATCCATGCTGTTCGCTATCAGTTTCTCTATTTGTAATAGGGTTGGTAAGCGAACAGCATGGATCCTGATCAGACTGCGCAAACCCATTATGTTGGTTTTGTCGTGACACGGCTCATATATATATATATATATATATATATATATATATATATATATATATATATATATATATATATATATATATATATATATATATATATATATATATATATATATATATATATATATATATATATATGCTTTGCCAGGTAGGACTTTTATAACTGTCCAGAACAGTCAGTTAATAATTTAGTAATTCATCATACATTGGCAATTATTCTAAAACAAAATCTAACTAAAATTTTGATTTGGACAACTGAATTTAATTAAATCATTATCTTCCGGGCGAGTCTGTACGCATGCGCAGTCGTAGCATGTTCCATACTATTAATAGCTCAAGTTTTGTAGTCACTTAAACATTGAATTGCCTATTCCAAAGTCAAAGCTATGCACATCTATTACACAATTGACGAAGGTTAATATATAATAATTGACATAAAATAAACTATATATTTCACTTACGTTTGATATCATTTGGTACACAGGCGGTTGTTGTAGTCTTGCTGAAGCACTCATTTACTAAGGATAATTTTTCCATTGGACAGCAACAGAAATTTGCTCCACCCATGTGATTACAGTTGTTATTTCTACACACATTCACCACGTTTTTGTCTAATGCAAATTTACAGATACTTTTCATTCTATTGCTCAGCTAAATAAAGAGAAACAAATCATGTGAATGACATTTTCAAGAAGGCGGGTATTACTTCCCTTGTTTATTAAGAAACAGTCTATAGTTGTCTCCCTTTACTCCTTTTATAGGTCAAATAAATCAGGGTCATTGACTGTCTTGACACTCAATAAAAACTCTAACAGAGGCGAAATTGAGGAAATAAAAATAAGCCCACAAACAGTCTTCATCAACAGGTCTAATTTCTTGAATTGTGTTACTTAATTTTGTAAAGAGATATAATTAACAAATGCTGCACACTGACTATTCAGACTAAAATATCTGTCTATCAATGCATAGTAAATGGCGATGGCAATATATACCGAACCTATAATAAAAGAGAAGATTTTAGGGGTATTTTGTTTGCCATACAAAATACGTACATTTTGTATTTCATACAAAATACTTACATTTATCTGCTATATCTGCTGTGTGCCATACAGAATACATATATTTTGTATTTCCAGCTAGGAGCTGGAAATACAAAATAAAGCACTTACTCGTTATAAATACATGTGAGCCGCGTCACGACAAAACCAACATAATGGGTTTTCGACCAGCATGGATCTAGACCAGCCTGCACATCCGCGCAGTCTGATCAGGATCAATGCTGTTCGCTTACAAACCCTATAGCAAGTAAAAAAGGGATAGCAAACAGCATGGATCCTGATCAGACTGTGCGGATGCGCAGTCTGATCAGGATCCATGCTGTTCGCATACGCACTATGTTGGTTTTGTCGTGACGCGGCTCATGTAGCGTCTGAAGAAGGCTGACAGTGATACGATGCACATTTTCTATGATAAAATTACCGAAATAATTAGTTTGAAACAACACAGAATTGTTTTTCCAACAGAAAATGAAAGATGAGTGCCGCTTTAAACGTGTACCGTGCTGGAATATCTGTTGCAACCAGTATAGAGTCCGACCAGCCTGCACATCCACACAGTCAGACTGGGCTCCACTTTTGGCTTACAGACTACTTTTTTTATCGTAATTTTGTCTGCCAAACACAAGCTTTCAAGACAAATTCGTTTCAGACAGTGGCATATTTTGTTCGCTGGTTTTTTTATTTATAGAAGGTGTAAATTTACTCACAATTATAATAGATTTAAAGCCATCTAATTGGGTGATCCAAGCCGGCCTGCAGTTTCCGCAAGCACCTAAAAACAACAAAACAAAAATACAAAATGTCTTAAGATAATAACAAACATTTAAAGCACGCCGCCACATTTATCCTTTTTTTCATGAACATTTTGAAAATGTATTTAAAAGACAGATATTATGAAATGAACAAACAAAGTAATTTACACATTGAAAACTGTATTTACAATCCACGTAAATTACCAAAAAGCGGTAAAAATATGCATAAATATCCTTACCTGCGTTTGTAACGCAGAAGAAATAAGGTGATAAAAGCTGCAAAATCAGTTATTTATAGCATATAAGGTATCATTTCTTGAATCTTGAATCTTTTTACCATTCGTAAACAATCTTAGTAAGCTTTCCAAAGTTTTAATTGTCTTAAATTATTCTGGTTCATCTGGAGGCATGCAGCTTTAAACACCTGTCCTCATACAGTCATTTTTTCATTCTTCCTGTACATTATGATCAACGATTTACATTTTTTTATACGTATAACTCACAGTAGAGAAATAATGTAAAAGAAATATTTTTAGTGTTCTTGTATATGAGCATATTTTCCACGTCCTCTTTATCTTTAAAGGCCCATTATGCATCAGAAATGCATTCGTTTTTATTTCTTAAAATGTTTTTAATGTTGGTGTACTTTTATAGTATCCAAAAAATTACTTATTGGCCAATTACTTAATCTTTTTGATATGTTGCATTCACAATAATTTCAATTATAGTGAATAAGTATTTTGTATGAAAGTCAAAATATCACTTTGTTTACATTTTGCTCTTTTTTATGACAACTTATTGCCCATTTATTGCTGCTTTCATCAGGTAGCAAGTATCTAACATTCTCTAAAACCATTATTTAAACATTATAAAATTCATGTTTGCTCTTTCTAAAGATGTAAAAAATTTATTTGTTTCTGAGGCATAATGCGCCTTTAAATCAATCAAAATACATACTTGGTTGGTTAGAGTTGTTCTGTGAATTCTGTGAAGGCGATGGCGGGGCTTGGCAAACGCTCAGACGGACGCACAAGCAAACGAACGATAACAAAGTTATCCAATGTGAATATTTCAGTGAGATCTCCATGAATAATCCTGCGTGTGATATTGTCAGTGTATTGTCAGCGTAATAATGACCAATGATAAACACACTTTAACAATTACAATCGTCCTGTGCCTATCACTTACACTCTCTTTATTATAAATGTCGTAAACTTGGAGGCCCGTCCGTCTAGCTATGTGGTTTTGTCAGCGCAAGATCGACGGACGGTGTCTTAATTCAAATTTTCACCGTTGTCGTGTATTAAAAACTATATAAGTGTTATAAACTGCTTTGGTCGGTGTTGGGAGCTTGCACTTATCTTCACCGTCCATGAACAAGATCAATTAAACCGAGGCGGCAAGATTTTTAAAGCTTTCTTTAGGCACTCTGTTTCTTTTTACTTATCGTTTGCTTCACGCTCAATGCCATCTTTGACGTTTTAGAAAATATGAATGAATAAAAGAATTACCCAACTTGTTTATTAAATATCATAGTCGATAAATTCGCATATTAAAATCGAATACCAGACCAATCACGTGATAGTAAATAGCTTTATACCAAGGCCAGTTTTGTGCATATACCTGGAATTTGACGTCTTATACAAATAACGCCGGTTATTACAGAAGTTTAACGAAAATGTTGCAAGGATAAAAAAAAATTACACCGCTGATAATAATTGACGATTATTCGTAAATTTACGGAAAGAGAGATTACTTTATAAATTTGATTTGATAAAAGTTATTGACGTAACAAACTTTTAACATGATCGATTTTTTTTTATTTCTGATATAACGTTGTAAATACTGTATAATGGCTTACAAAAGCGTCATTTTCAAAATTAAAAATTGTTTTAATACTATTATAAATAAGACTTATCATTGGTCAAAACCAGTAAGAATCTTCAGTAGCTATTTCAAACAACGACGTAATATGTCATACTACAATACGTCTCGGAATTCCGCTATTTGCGTCATAATCTATAGATAAGGCGTCACACTTTTCTCTTTCTCTCGACACGTGGACGTCGTTGAGAAGGCACAGGGCATCAGCAGATTATTGAAGAACCAATGCTACGTGAAAAACGGCAAGTTCGTATGTTTTCTACAGATACGGCACGTCACAACTTAGCTTGCATGACGTTAACTGCCAGTATCCTGACTGACGGCGAGGGGAGTGGCCCTACAAAGTAGTCAGAGTCGACGAGGATGGTGAACTTGGGTGTGTTAGCCCCTAGTACGAATGGCGGCTTGTAAGGCAGACCCTTTTAAGGGCTACCCCCTTTCATTATTGTCTCTGTATTTTTACTGTACATTTAGGTTCTCATTGACCGCCGTACAGTGACTTACTTTGGCTCAAAATTCATATCTTTGGCTAATACTCCGTTAAAATTGCATAGAGGTAAATTATCACCACTTTATGCTTCAAAAATAACTCTTTAAGGGCATGGCTGGTGACATGTCTGGGGTCCATACTCGACAGCGAATGGGCGGATGGACCCTCGTTAAACATAGACCACATACAAATATACATACAACAAAGCGTCACACTAAAGAAGAGCCTCAATTGGGAAACCTAGAGAAACCGCAATGAGACAATATACAATAAGCTTTCATGTTTATGAAGAAGTATATTATTTTAATAACAATAAAGCCGTCGTAAAACACGTCACTTTTATTGACTATTCTGTCATGTTCAAAGCATATTTGTCAGCCCGAGGCTTCACGATCCAATGTTCTTTTTACCTTCAAACATTATAATCAGAGCTATTTAAAGTGTTGCAATATGCATTTTGACGCGTCTTAAGTCATGAACAAGAATGTATTTGTTTCAAACGTTAAAAAACAAACGTTATTACGTTGTCCTGCGGAACGTCAATTTCAAACACCTGTTACTGAGTAATTTTGTTTATGAGTTACAAGCGTTAAAGGTGATGGGTGTAATATGTATTGTGTCTTATTGTGAATTTTACCTTGTTTTACGGATTGCCGCTGTTATAAAATAGGACGGAAAAAAAACAAAGTAATAAAAATCAGTGTTGGAAACAACAAAGTAGGCGATGTAAAAACTTATATAACAAGCCAAATGTCGTTAACGTAACAGACGAAAACACGTTAAAGAGAAGACGACAATACGTTAACTAAAAGACAATAAACTGATAAATAAAAAACAACAATACGTAAACAAAAAGACTACAACACGCGGATTTGTTTAAAGGTAATTTGGCACTTTGCTAGCGGCCTTGTGTCGACGTCTTGCATTCTAAAAAACCCCAATTACACATGGTACACTGTGACCTTTTCATTCACATAACGTATTTTTTTGTATTCATTATGCCTGTTTTCTAATTTGAAAGGAAACATTGCATTTGCTTCCAGAAAAAGTTGTTGATGTCATTCTACAATGTATAGTGTTATGAAATGACTATATGTCTTTGAAAGCATAACTTTTGTAAGATTTATATGTGAATGCTAAATAAGGACAGTTTTATACGCGCTAAATTGTTGCTACATAGAATACATATATTTGTTAAAGTACCGATAACATGTATAAAGAAACGGAAATTGTAGATTCGAGCATAGAAACAAGGAATTGTCATTATATGAAGTTTCATTGTGAAAACAAGTTCAAGTTCGCTTCGTGAGCTCACCACAGCTGGTGACACGCGCGAAGAAGCATAGTGGCGTACCTGGTCGAGCTCGAACCTTTTACACCAGGGTTAGATTGGCACACACCAAAACTATTAAGCAAACGCCTCCACATAGTGTTACAACTTTAAAACAAATTTCGACATAAGGGCTTCGATGGCCGAATGTCCTTAAAATGTGCAAATCATGAATCTCTCGGTCCTTAAACTGTGGGTTCGAATAATGCAAGACAATGACATTGGGTTGTTTAAACAAACAAGCTACAAGGTAAGACAGAAGACGAACGTACATGCATAAAATGAAGCTAAATGACAAAAATAAATCGTATCTAGCGGTGCATTTAATATCAACATTTATTCCAGGAAACAGCAATAAAATACAAACCTGTAATTAATATTCTTTGTAGCAAAGACGTTTTATATATATGTATTGTATGTTTTGTTATTTTGTTTAAATACAATGAGTCAGAAAATGTCGCCAATCTTTGTATGGTGGTGCATTAACGCCATGCCTTGATATTGCAAAGTCGCATTACGTGAAGTATAACCGACATTTTTATTCTTTGATATAGAATCGTTTTGTATTCAGTAATTGCTTTAACACCGGACGAAGGGAAAACAGAACATTCGAAATTCTGTGAAATGACATTGATATATCCTTTTCTTAATTATGGAAATTATATTTATTTCGTCCTTCCGGTGTCTTTTAAAATTCAGTAATCGTCTATAGGTCAAGGCGAGATTTTGGCGACACCTGTCTTTACGGAAGTTGGCGAAATCTGCCGATTTTTTGCAAGCTGTTGATGAATAGGATGCAAATATTTTGTCTAATCATAAGATAATTAATGCAGCTCAAATGTAATGATTGATATCACCTCGATCACATTGATATCACCTTGCATTTATGCATCAATAAAACAAACCATTAAAACGTGAAAGTGCTCGTGCCCTTCTTGAACAAATATATGACAATAACCCAATTACAAGAAAATTTCATTAATGTTATGATTATACCATACAAACTAAAGTGTTTCATGTATAAATATGTTTTTATTTTCTCTTATGTATTTATCTATATTATTTTATTTTTTTCTTCGAGGGGGGGGGGGGGTTAGGGGTTGGGGATGGGGCGGGTGGGAAGGGATTGGTTTAAAAGTACTTTATAGAGTGCTTTATATTTTTTGTGAGTCATCAATCTGCAAAATGTTAAAGTATAATGCATTTGACACACTTGCCAATGCGGTCCTATCTCGAACCAAACCCAACTGTGACCGGGCAGAAGTTTGTGAGAGTTGCATAATTATGTTAACCGAAGATGGGCTCAGAACTTGTAGGCGATGTGAAGCTAAGTGTTTAACTTTTAGGGCGATTTCGGCTGTGTAGTAAGGTTATTGACTCCTCGTCGCCTTGTCGGAGACTTCGGATTCTTTCAGGTGGGGAAGCTTTCCAGGTAGCTTAAGGAACCTTGATTCACTCGGAGGTGAACTTTTTTATGGCACATATCGATCGTTTTACACCGTTATCATAAAGTGGGTAAAGCGGGTGTTTGTAGGGCGTGGCGCAATGCATTAAATTAACATTGACAAAAAAATGCTGGATCTGTCTAATTGATCATTTAAGTTCATAACTTTAACTAAAGAGAAAAAAGAGAAAAATAAAACAACAAAAAATAACGCCAATAAGCATTAAAATTGAATTCGCCCTATGTGTGACCACTTGCCTGGCAATTTGATTTCCTCAGCTATTATACTTCGCAATAGACCTCTGACATAAGGTGATTATATATGGCACTACTTCAGTTATTTTAGTATGATTCCGCAATTTTTATGCTATGATTTGATTATATTTATTGCTTTCTATTAATGTCAATCAAGTCAATTGAAAGAAGATGCATGCATCACAAAGAGTTTCAGATTTGTTGACCAAGTTGATTTTCCCCATTTTTTTTGTGGTGTCGAATCCGACTTCATGCCATGATATGGAGTTGTATATATATGTTGACTTTGTTGTGCACACGTACGAAAAGGGGCGTCCGTAGCTGAGAAGTTAAGGCAGTTAACTTCAAACCAATTACCCCTCACTGCTGTGTGTTCAAATTCTACCAGGGAGTTTAGATTTTCCCATCCAGCTTGCTCACGAAATCCTTTGCCGGAAAAAATGCACAGAAGGGCACATGAGGCCGTCTGCCACCAGTAAAGTTATCAAGTCGCCATCGAAGACAAAATAAGGGCTTACTCCAGTATTTAGGGTTTTTTTGGTTTTACAACTTATATCGACAAGTCGATTTCATCACAGCTGGTCCTTTATATATATAAAGCATATTTAAATACTCGATCAAAAAAAAATAATTTTCATTGTATACATCCTTTTGCCGAAATAATAAGGGTCTATGAAAGTGGAAGAAAATCAAAAATCAAAATTTGAAAAATAAAGGGGAGATCACTGCGTTGGAATTGAGATAATAAAAGTTTAGAAATTTAAACATTTTCCCCACATTTTATTGAACTCGAGACAGACAACAAATGAATACAAATATTACAAATGATGTGATATTTTGTTGTTTTGCTTTTTATGTGTCGTTTGCTCACTGATAGTGCTGATTTGGATCCCAGATGTTGAGTCGGAAGATTGTCCCCAACCATGCTGAAATTGTAGAAAAAACGAAATTAACATACACGTAATTAAAATAATTTTCCGACACCGCCTTCTTTACTTCAAATCACAGGCTTTTCTCTTGTGCAGATCTGAAACCCACCAGAAATTTTGGATACATACCAGTCTGTTTAAGATCAGCTCCTAATTTAGCTACGCGCAAGAAATAACCTAAAACGATCTGATATTTAGTCATATTGGATACATACATGTGAGGACGCTTTCAAACTAGCCTACAATCCTTTTCTTTCGCCAGTAAAGCTATAAAATGGCAAAAATGTCATATGGCCTAGATTTTCGGCTAAACTTAAAATTGAACTATTTGTTTGCCTATTCCATCATTATACATGTGTTTGACCAAGCCAGGAAACTAGAACAGCAGCCTGGCCTCGCAAACTATACGTATATTAAGCTTTTGAATATCACAATCTTTGGAACAGTAACTGACTGTTCTAAATTCCTACTTAATCCTACGCTTGGTTCCAACGTATAAACAACGTTAATCAAACGTCGCGTGAATGCTGACTCAAGGTAAACAATCGAGATAGTTTTGAAAGATGATTCATGACATACTAACAGCGACATCAAACGAACCTAATTTGTCTGTATAACAATTTTGACAACCGGAATGAAACAAAAGTCATTAAGATCTAGACAAAATGGCGACGGACACGATTCATGTAATTCAAACAATACGTACGCTGTATAGATTTAGGCACACAAAGAAACTCCGGCGGGTTGCCATGGTAACATGCGTCTACAGAAGGCATACATCTGGACGGACAGCACGTGAATTCTACAAGATTTTTAGGACAGACATCTCCCTCGTGGTAGCATGGCGAAAACTTGTCGGCAAACTCACACATGGGTTCGGATACATTCGGGACGAGACCAGCCATGCTGTGTACAACATCGACCCACTGCGGAGGACAGCCTGTTCCGCAACCTGTATCAATAAGCGTTACGAATGCAAAATTTAATATACCACAATCATTTAAATCAAAAACAACCATCGTCGTTAAAAGTCTACTTAAATTAAGCATTTTCATAATCATAATATTTACCATTATCTTGATCAATGCCATGATCGTCCTGATCAAGAACATGAATGCCATGAACTTGATCATCAAGGTCGGTATCATGATTATCTTCTCGGTCATCTTTGGAATTAATATGATCACATTTAACATTATCTAGATCATCATTATTGTCATTCAAATCGTCATCGTTGTTTCGTTACCAGTTTATCACCACCACCACAACCACCACCGCCATTAATATCATCATCATCATCAACAACATTATCATCATCATCATAATTATCATCATCACCACTACCACCACCATTATCATCATCATCATTATAATCATAGTCACCACCACCACCTCCATCATCATCTTTATCATCATCATCATCACCACTATCATTATCATCATCTTAATCTGCCTCACCTACATCATCAACATTATAACAACCACCATCATCATCATCATCACCATCATCATTATAATCATAATCACCACCACCTTCATCAGCATCATCATCATCATTATCATCATCACAACAACCACCATCACCACCATAATCACCCTCATCATCATAATCATCGTCGTCGTCTTCATAATCATCATATTAACGTTAAGGCTACTGTCGCCAACAAATTCAAGCCATGTGACAATTGCAGACAAATATTAACTGACATATCTTCTTCGTGGTCTGCACTGTTCGCTACACAACCAATACTTAATTTTAAATAATTCCTTATATTTGATTAATGGACACGTCCAAATAAAGATATTTAGCCTGGTAAAGGTTATCTAAAACCAACTCAACCATGTCGTAAAATACGAAACTGTTTTAAGAGTTCAAGTTTAAATGAATATAAGCATATGGATGTATATAAACATGACTGCAGTATTCAAAACTACATTATATTTTCATTATATCGTGACAGCCTTAAATGAATCAGTGTCTCGTTAAAACGTCAAATGTCGTGAATAATGTGCATAAAATAACGCTTCTTTACACAATAAAACAGAAATGTATACACATATATACATATACATGTACACAATGTATAATTCCTTTTTTAATTTTTTTGGGGGAAAAGCTCATGTAGTTTCGGATTTATATAAGTAACTGTTGGAAGAACTTGTTTTGCAATCGAACTAATATAGATATTTTAAGATTGAACAGTTTCGGCCTTTCGGTAATGGAATGTAAACAAAACTATGAGAACTGCTAAGTTTGACATATATATTATTATTAGTATGTGCATAAAACAGTCTTTTTATTAACAACACGTGTCACGTGTATTCTTGAAATTAACAAAAGTAGATATTTCATATACGAAGAATTAAAGGTACATTATCCCTAAGAAACGAATAAATTTTTACTTCTTAAGAAAGGACAAACATAAATTTATTACGTTTAAACAATGGTTTTAGAGCATGTTAGATGCTTGTTGCCTGAAGGAAATATCGACAAACTTGTCATAAATTTAGCAAAACATAAACAAAGTAGTATTTTTACTTCCATACACAATACTAAATTACTGTCAATGTACTAATTGCCAAAATGCAACAGATGAAAAAGAAAATTTAGGTAATTGGCCAATGAGTAACATTATTGAAACTGTTAACGTACATCAAAAATAAAAACATTTGAAATAAAAGCATTTCTGGTGCATACTACCACCATTTAATGGGCCTTTAATGATACATTCAATAATAACATAATTATACTTAAGGCTTATTTGTGATAGAACCGGAAATGATTAGCCCTTGATTCTCAAGTATATACCAGACAACCGGCAATCTCGGACAGTATAAACAAGTTTGAGTAAGATTTAATTAATACTCTTAACTTAGCCTAGAATGGGCTGTTTCAAAGTTTCAGTTTTAAACAAATTATATATTATTAATCATATTTACTATTTGGAGCATATGCTTTTCCTGTCTTCATGTCGATGGCGTTTTGCTTGTGATGCAAAGGAATCACGAGCTCATTGGAATGAATTCTCGTGATAATGCGACGACCACGTGTCTGTGCGCATGCGCCAAGAATACACGTGAACAAGATGGCTGCTACCAATGAAGCTGGAGCGTTCATTCTGTCAGAGTTCCGCATGATGACACTTGCTTTCTAGCAAAAAACAAAATGTAGTCAAAATAATGTACATAATATTATGATGAAATCAATGATCTTTAGAATTTAAAAATTTCGCAACACCTTCATTTTGTATACATGTTGAGAAAAATATACATGTAGATCTATGTCATATATTCTTCTCTGTGTAAATTTAGCATTACATGTTTATTTACTCTCATGACTTGTAAACCATTCAAAAACACTGAAAATGGAAATTAAAAGTTTTATATTAAATAACAATGACATTATTGTAATTCTTATTTTTTTTAATAAAAGTATCTAAAATAATTTTGGAGCAACCTATTAAGTTACCGCATATAGTTCGAATTTAAAAAGGTAACGTTAACACTGGCAATAGAGTAGCGTTAGTTTTATCATTCTAGCCTGTTCGATTAAATTTTGTGAATAATCACCAAATAAATCGAGTGGTACCTCTCAAAATAAAATTGATAATTATTTAATTCACATGATCCCAATGACTTGGTTACATTTATTATCATATTCTATATTAATACTAAGACTTATTCACCCCGTCCCCTTCAAGAAATAAATGAATTAACACAACAAACGAAAATTCGTCAGACGCATTTAATACTGACTATTTACAATTTAGTAAGATGACACAATCATAATTTACGCACCTTTCTCCTCCAAAAGAAACTATCCAAGTGTGAATTCACCTGTTAACATTTTATCAAGAATAAACGTTCACAAAAAGAACAATACATCATTCATTAACCTATTTAGAATTGGACAGGCGCACACGATTACAGCCGTAAAGGTTTCACAAAAACTCATTACTCGTGCGTTTATAGCATCTAGTGCATTAAATCATTATATTTCTTTTGCAAATTGATAATCTCGACCAAAATAGCAAAGTCCCTATGTGCATGTACCAGTCCGTATGTCCGGAAATATCAGTCAAAACCGGTTAAGATAGCAGTACATGAATATACCACCACATGAATATATACTAGGTTCCAAAAAAAAGTGTGCCCTTTGTTTTCGGCGGTTTTTGTCTTCTTCTAAAAACTCGAATTCGACCGTCATGATGACTAAGGTTAAACCTAGACTCATCTGAAATATAACCCGATGGGTTTTATATTGATCGAGTGTTATGTCTGTACTTAGTGGACTAAACAATGCCCAAGAATTTGAAAAGAAACGTCTGCTAATTTTCTAAATATTCAACATTAAAAAGTGCACACTTTCTTTTGGAACCGAGTATATGTCCGCGCATGAAAATAGGCCCGCGTATTTTTGTTCGGACCTTTTTTATTTTTCATGTTATATTGCGCGAAGCTTCAACTCCATCTTTATGACATTTACATTATTCTTACTCGAATCAACACATTGTTTTTCAGGAGTTACTTCGCCTGAACTGTTAGGAACAAGACAGAAGAATAATCGTCCTAAGACAATTAAAAGAAACACGAAAATACAGTAGCTTTTGTGATTTTTTACTTCTTTTCTTTTATTTACTGTCGCATGCCGGTTGCCCAAACTATGATCACTATAAAGATACGAAAAAAATATCAAAGAAAATTCAGTTAGACAAGTGATAACACATCAACAGATGTTGACAAGATAGACCGATTATCTTTGAGAATCATTTCTCTTGAGAAATTAAGACCATTCTTTGCCAGGAATATGCGCCATTTAGACAATGAGCCGGCCTTTGGACAAAACCACAGTCAATGTCAGAAAAAGATATTGAGCATGGCAAAGACATTTATAAAAAATAAGTGAATCTGTAAGAGAAATATTTGCAATGAAATCTTACTTTTGGCTTCGTATATTCCATATTTATGACCATAATTTAGATGTGACCTCATAATTAAAACATATTACCAGTTTGTGCTTCAAAATTAACCCTCTAAGGGCATGACATGTGACATGTCTGAGTTCCGTACTTGACAGCGAAAGCTGCATTTAGTACCTGGAAGCTGCATAGCCTATCGTGCCGACTACCAGTAAAGACCTTATGCTAGAAAAAACATTTGGACTTTCTAAGGCTATCATGAGCGGGATTCTTCTCAGGAGAACAATCTTATGTACACGTGGAGGCTGTAAGGTTCCACAGTCAAGTCGGCTTCAGGAGGTTTGTCTGTAATCAAAGTGCTGAAAGCACTGAATGTGACAGGATATCATACTTATTTTTGATGTCATGTGAAATTCCCCCTTAAAAGAAAAAAAATGCCCGCAGAAAGTTTTGATATTTTAACTTTTAATGCATTTTGGGAATTAAAAACATTTTAAACACCCCATTTTTTTTATCTACCCTCTTTTGAAAATCATGTTAATTTAACACAAGAAAACGTATTACAGCTATGGAATACGTCAGTTTTTAATTGTTTTAAAAGTTTGAAAAACTTTGTAGAAAACAGATTAACAAAGAGTGATAGGGGCTCACCCTTAAATCCGCGCCTGACAAAAGCTGCAGCAACATGGCCGATGAAACATGTCAAAGTAAATAAAATAATTAAAAGGAAATAAAAGAGAAGATCAAACGTAAATAAAAGAGGCAATATATAATAAAATTAATCACAGGAGCACCACAAAGACGGGACAATTTACGCCCGAATGTAAAGTTTGAGTAATTAATAATAACTTTTTGATTAGTGTAGATACTACGGAAGAGCATTAGTGCCAGGTGTATGTTTTTTATTAACTCTAAATTTCGACTTAAATTTCGAGTAACTAACTCGAAATTTCGAGATAATAACTCGAAATTTCGAGTTAGTAACTCTAAATTTCTCGAGTTAATAACTTTCGAAATTTCGAGATAAGAAAATTTAAAATTTTCGAGTTATTTATTTTCAAAAATTTAAAAATTTTACAAACTCGAAATTTCAAAATTTACAGTAAAAACCCCAAAAAAACCCAAACCTTTTGGGGCCCTTAGCCCAGATGTTTTTAATTGCGGGTTTGGGTTTTCTTTAATTTGTAAAATATTCTTTTTAACGCTTACCATTTTTTTGGGGCCCATTGGTTTCTTTTTTTTATTTTTTTTTAGGGGAAAAAAACAAAAAATTAAAAACCCTCCCAAATTTTACAACATAAAAAATATGTCTTAAAAATATTAATATCTGATTGGGAAAAAGAAATTTTAATTTTCAAGTTTTTTAATTTTGTTTTGTTTTCCCAATTTTTTTTTTCTCGAAATTTCGAAAAACCTTAAAACTAATTTTCAAATTTCAAATTTAATTTTATCTCGAAATTCAAACTTATTTTTTTCAAAAATTTCGGGTTACTAACTTCGAAATTTTTCGATTTATTCTTTTAACCCTCGAAAAATTTCCGATTCCCCTTTAAACTCAAAAATTTTCCCCGTTTTTTACTTTTTTTTCGAAAATTTCATTACTTATTTGAAAATTTTCAAAATTTTTTATTTAACCAATTTTTCCCGGGCATACAAATTTCAAATTTTTCAAATTTAAATTTAATTTGGGAAAATTTCGATTTTTTGGGGTTAAACTAGAAATTAACCACTTACACGGGCACGATTTTTTTTTGGTTGCCGTTAAAAGGGAAAAGGATTGAAATTAAAGATACTTTTTTCGTGTGTAGTTGTTGTTTAGGGAAAGACATTTTTTCCAGGTGTATTTTTTTTTAAAACTGGGAAATTTCGAAAATTAAATTTCGAAACAATTCCCTTATCTAAAATTTTTCCTTTACTTAACTCGAAATTTTGGATTTACAAACCCCGGAAATTTCAATTTCTTTTTTTAACTCGAAATTTTCCCAAACATACTAACTCAAAATTATTTTTTCGAAAATTTTTTTCGATTTATATTAATCAAATTTTCGATTTACAAACCCCCAATTTTCGATTCTTTTTTCTGAAATTTCGTTTAGTAACTCAAAATTTCATTACAAAACCCCCAATTTCCCGACTTACAAAATAAAAAATTTTCGACATACTAACTCAAAATTTTTCGAGTTACTTATCTCGAAATTTCGCCCTTGGGTAACTCAAAATTTTTCGATTTTATTAACATTTCAAGAATGGGCCAAAATTTTATTAGTTAAATGGTAAAAGGGAAAAATATTGGGGACTGCTGTTTGAAACGAGGAATTGGAAAACGGGTCCCCGGAAAAAAACTTTTTGAAATTTAACTTAAACTTAGAAATTTTGGCATGTACCCCCACCCGCCCCTTAAAAAATAAAAAGTTTCCCTTTAATTTGTACGTTAAAGGCGCTTTTTCAGCCCTCTGTATTGTACCCCACCTGTTCAACCCATTTTTTTCACAAATCATATCTTCCCCATCCCTGTAAAAAAACATCTTTTATACTTCACGTTGGGACTTTCTAAAGGAAAGTATCGCGGGGGGGGGCCCAAAATTAGGGCGTGTTTTGGGGCCCTTTTTGTCAAAATTTTTGGACTGACAAATATTTTTTTGTAAAATCGGATGTTTTTTTATATTTTTCCCAACTTTATATAAAAAACAAAACAAGTTTTCATTTTTAAATTCAACTTTTATCAACAATATGAATCAAAGTTTTTAGAAAAAATAATAAATTTAATTTTAAACAAAAACTTTAAATTAGAAACAAAAAAAAACGTCCCAGACTAAGGCGTATACACGCCTTTTTAAAAACTTTTTTAAACAAATGATATTGCAAAATTAACAATAGGGTTTTTTTCGGGATTTTGTTGTTTCTCCACTTTGATGGTTGTATGTTGTTAAGAAAAAAAACCCCCCTGTTAACACGGAAATGGGGAAAGTGTGTTTTTAAACCCCCCCCCCCCCCCCCCCCTCCAAAAAAAAGGGCGAAGGATTTTGTTAAATATGTGGGGGAAAATTTTTGCCCATTAAAAATTGTTTCCTTTTTAAAATTTTAAATTTTTAAAGGCCCCCTCTGTCAAATGTGCAAAAAAAGCTACACACGAAAGAAAGTTTTCTTGAAATTCAACCCTTTTGCTTTCCCCGGAAACCCAAATTGAAAGTCTTTTCAATTTTAGTCGAAATTTCGAGTTACTAATTTCAAAATTTCGATTTACTAAGTCGAAATTTCAGAAAAGTAATCGAAATTTCGATTTAGTAAGTCAAAATTTTTCGATTAGTAAGTCGAAATTTCGATTTTAGTAATTTCGAAATTTCGATTTTGGGTAAGTCGAAATTTTAAGTTAGTTACTCGAAATTTCAAAGTTTAAGAAAACTCGAAATTTCGGTTAATAATTCAAATTGGGTTTTGTAACTGAAATTTCGAGAAAGAAATCAAAAATTTTTCAGTTATTTAATTTCAAAAATTTCGAGTTAGGACTCGAAATTTCGAGTTAAAAAAAAACATCCCAACCGGGCCAATTTAATGTTTCCCCTTTGTTCCCACATTGACAGACCCCCGGGAAGAATTTTATGGGGGTAAAATTTCTACACTTTATTTAAAACATTTTCCTTTCCCTTTTTTGGGGAGGGGGGGGGGGTGAAAAAAACCACTTTCCACATTTCCGTTTTAAAACGGGTGTTTTTTTAAGCACACATAAAACCCTTTAATGGAAAAAACAACAATTTCCAAAAAACCCACCCTATTGTAAACGGGGAAATTTATCTTTGGGGAAAATTTTTTTAAAATTGGGCGTGTATAGGCCAGTTAGTTTTGTAAACATTTCTTTATCCCTAATAATTTTTTTTGTAACAAATTCATTTTTACTAATATTTTTTTTTCATATTGGTTTAAAAATTTTGAAAAAAAAGTGATATTGTTTTTAAATATATATTTTGGGGAAACAAAAAAAAAAAGGCATCCGTTTTTACAAAAATATAGTCGGGCCCAAACCCTTTTGACAAA